AATCTTAGGGGGAAAAAAGTGATGTAGGTTAATTAGTGGATATAGAAATAAAGGAAGAGAGTGTGTAAAGAGAAAAGCATGGAATATTGTATTGTATACCTAAAAAAGCAAATCTTTAGAAAGCAACAAATACCTCTGTGATGGTTAATTTTATATGTTAATATGGCTGGGTTATGATGTGCAGTTGTTAGGTCAAATACCAGTCTAGATGTTGCTGTGAAGGTATATTTTAGATGTGATTAACATTTAAATCAGTAGACTTGGAGTAAAGCAGACTACTCTCCACAGTGTGAGTGGGCCTGACCCAAACAATTGAAGGCCTTAAGCGATAAGACAGAGGTCCCACACAAAAGAAGGATTTCTGCCTCCAGACTACCTTCAGACTCAAGATTGCAACATTTACTCCTGCCAGAATTTCCAGCCAGTGTCAGCCTCTTTTAAAATATAGGTCGGAGGGGAGGGTATAGCTCAGTGGTAGAGTGCAGAGCTTAACATGCACGAGGTCCTGTGTTCAATCTCCAATACCTCCATTAAAGTTAAAAATTTTTTTAAAAATCCTAATTACCTCCTCCCCTCAACAAAAACAACAACAAAAAGTATAAGTCAGACCATATCGATGCCTACTTCCTACAACCCTATGTAGCTCATCACAAGTTGTGTCTCCACCTTCATCTCTTAACAATTTCCATCTTACTCATTTTGCTCCAGCAACACTGGCCTGATTGCTATACTCAAATCTTCCAAGCTTGCTTCTGCTTCAGGATCTTTGCACTTGCTGTTCTCTCTGCTTAGAATCTCTTACTCAAGCTACTTGTTTGGATCATTTTCTCACTGTTTTCAGGCAGACAGGGCTTCCCTGACCCCTCTACTCAAATAGTGAACACCTTTATTCTATCTCTTTATCCTGCTTTATCCTGCATCTTGGCACTTACCACTACTTGATATGCTTATTGGATTGTTTATTCATTTTATGTTTTATCCACTAGACTATAAAGACCTATGAAGACTATAAAGAGACAAGAGAGTTGGTCTGTTCTTATGCACTGTTGTAGCACCAGCATCTATAATTGTACATGGCACAGACTGGAGGATCAACATCTAGAAAGACTTACACTAAACTATTACAAGTGATTATCTTTGAAGAGTGGAGTGAAGATGGAGATGGTAAAAGAAGTTTTAGTCTTTTAGAATCTCATATTATTTAATTGATAAGAGCAGCAGCATCCTGGCAGTAATTCCCTATTGCCAGTCATCTCTTCACTGCCTTTATGTTAATTTGCCCTTAAACAATCTATTGAAAATTTTTGAAGCAAATTATGGGAAAATGTATATTTGACATGGAAAAGATATTAAACATTTTAAATAGCATTTTGAATTAATTGCACAAGAAAGAAACATTTTTTAAAAAATTGTATGCATTGTTTACATGCCTTTAGCCAAGGACCTCAGTATTGCTATTAAGGACTCACTTTTTTATGCTCATATCATATATCAAGTAGAGTATGGTAAGAAATTCCTAG